CATTTCTGCCCGGCGCACCCGCCAACCTCCCTGCAACCCTGTCACACGCTCCCCTTCCTAAACGTGTCTTCACATTAGCCTCTGCTCCTTGCAGGCCCAAGCTTAGCACACAATCCCTAAGTGTCAGCAGCCATCACTGTTCTATCACATGCAACATTTAAAGGCCAAATTTAATTTTCCCTAGAATTTTTAATTGATCACAGCCTTCAGTCCAAAGACATACTGACTGAACTTCTCCCCAGTGTGAGGGGGAGGCCCACCTGCTGTTCCCCAGTCTCCCCACCCTGGGGTTGAGAGGACACAGCAGTGTGAGCTCACTCTGAGCAGCGACCCAGCCCTGGGGAGCATGGATTGGATCCTTGACTCTGGCTGGCCTGGCAGACCTGTGCAGACAGGCCTGATTGAAGACAGGAGCCAGGCCTTGGGGGGCCTTTCCACACTCTGATTTCCTGGTGCTGGGCTGCAGTCACTGTATGGTGGCTGTCCCCCATCTCATTGCTCATACTGGCATAGCCCGCTTGGCCCCTCTTGTAGAATTCCCGTGTATGGCCTCATAAGGTCCCCTCCACTGGGTCATGCAAGCGGCCACCATGGTCCAGGCTGCCCGACAGCAAAGCCTTAGCCAGCTCCACTCTCTGCCAATGCCCACACCTTCACTGAGCCAGTAAAAGTTATGCACCAGCTGCCTAGGAAAGTACACACGGGCCCATTGTGAGCCTCTGAGGTCAGCAGGCAGCTGTTTGGGTCCCTGAGGCTGTCCAGGATCTCACATTAAGGAATCCCACCTGGGAAGCTGGGAAGGGCTTCCCCCTGTCAATGCTCACGCTCTCACTCCTCCTCCTTAGCCTCTGTATCCTGGCTCCTGCCCCTCTGCCTCCATCAGCGGAGCCTGGAGCATCCAGGAAGCTAAGCAGGTACCCCACCTCCAATTTCTTTATGAATAACAATACACTTTGTTTTTACTGTGTGCCTGATACTACTGTAAATGCATTATGAGTATTAATATGTTAACTCTTCACAGTAACGTTACAGGGTTGGGACAGTTAGAATCATACCCATTTTACAGATGAAGAAATTGAAGCACAGAGAAGTTGGGAAACTTCCCTAAGTCTCATGGCAGAGGGAAGGTGCCACCCTTCTCACACAGCAGCTAGCTCACCACCTTTGATATGATCTGGTCTTCCCTAGGGCTGAGCCAATGCTTAGAAACTCTGGAACTGAGGCAGGCACAGAATGAAACTAACCCAGACATCCAAAGATGAGCTGTCCCGACAGGAGGACATCAGTAACTTGTGAAAACTCCCAGTGTTGGACAGAATGTTTCCACTGTCTCAGACACAGCTTTTCTACTGCCTCTGTTCAATTTATTCATCCTCCTTGCTGCCTCCTCCATGCAACCTTCTTGTCGTCCAAGGCTGGACACCCCTCCCTACAAGAATTACAGCTCACAGAATTTTCCCATCCCAGCCATTATCGTCTATACTAACACTGCCAGTCTCAGCGACTGCCTCCCTCCCACTCTGGCAACTCCAATAGGCAGGGATTATGTTTTGTTTTGCTTTGTTTTGAATGTCTTTTGAAAAAATAATTCTTTTACTTTTTTTTTTTTGAGATAGAATCTCACTCTTTCACCCTAGATAGAGTGTCATGACATCGTAACTCACAGCAACCTTGAACTTTTGGGCTCAAGTGATCCCCTGGCCTCAGCTTCCCCAGTAGCTAGGACTACAAGCATCTGCCATGACGTCCAGCTAATTTTTCTATTTTTAGTAGAGATGAGGTCTTGCTCTTGCTCAGGCTGGTCTCCAACTCCTGAGCTCAAGCAATCCACCTGCCTTGGCCTCCCAGAGTGCTGGGATTACAGGTGTGAGCCACCACACCTGGCCAATTTTCTTACTTTTTGTTGATATATTCCAGTAAAGTGCACAAATCATAAGCTATCATAAGTATAGTTCAGTGAACTTTTATGTACGTATATAGCTATGTAACCACCACTGAAATCGAGATGTAACACGTCTAGTACCCAGAAAGTTCTTTTGGTACCCTTTCAGTCATTACCCCAAAGGTAACCATGTTCTGACTGCTGTCACTATAATTTTGCTTTTATTTAAGCTTCAAATAAATGAGAACTTCAAAAAAGTATATCTGGCTTCTTGTGTTCAACAATATATGTGAGACTAATTCATGTTGCTACATATTTCAACAGTTCATCTCTTTTTATGGCAGTATAGTATTCCACCAAAGAAATATAACACTATTTATCCATTCTATTGTAGATGAGTATGTCAGCTAGAATTTAGAGCATCTGGCACTCTCATTTTTGGGTGATGAAGGTATAAATTGCTGTAACTACTAAGGAGAATTCTGTCTTGTCGTCTGAATTGTTGTCATAATCCATTTTTGAGCATTTACTGTGTGCTGTGCCCTGTACTGACTCGTCTACATTATCTCAATCCTAACAATCACCCTAGGAAGTAGAGAGCTGCCATTTATGAATAAGATAATCATGGTATTAACGTGATTATCTGTGAAACTTAACTGAGATGACACTTTGAAGGACTTAGCCTAAAGCTGCCATCTTGGAAACACTGTTTATATCTATTATTGTTATTACTAACCAGTATGCAATTAGCAGTTTAGGAACCTGGGTCAATGCCTACCTAAGACACCCAGACCCTTGTAGCTCAGCACCCTTGGTCTCAGAGTGCCTGGGAAGTGATGAATTTGGTAGCCAGGACCTTGGGGGATGACCCAAGACATGCACTTCAATAAGATACAGGCTCTAACTTCAAGAAGACAATCATTGATGGGGTCAAGAGTGAGTCTGTAAATTAGGAGGGACCCTGGGAGTGCTCAGGAGACCTCTGAAGTTGAGTACAGAAAGTAATTTTAAGTGTCTATTTTTCAATACCAATGTATTTCACTAGCCTGTGAACTCTACAAGGGCATGGCCAGTGTAGGTTTTGAAATCATTCATTCATAAATAGGATTTCAGGGTCCCCCTTCCCTCTGGCGCTAAGTCAAGAGCAGAGAGATACCGTAGAGAAGATAGGAAAAGAGAAAAGGGAACCAAGTGCCCTGAAGGAACCCAGCAGAACAGTGACAGGGAGAGGAACTCCTGGGGAGAGGCCTGCTGTAGATTAAGGGGGTCACTGAAGACCTCAATTCTCAGGAGGGATGAGCAGTTCCAATGGGCCAGAGGAGGGGACAAGCTCCAAGGCCCTGAAATGAGAAAGGACAGAGGAGCCGTGAGGATTAGGGTCTGAAAGAGGGGTGGGCTTCTCAGTCCGGGAGAAGCTCTACAGGCTAGGATAGCGGGCACAGGTGTGATCTTTAGGTGAATGGGAAACAATCGGAAGGTTTCAAGCTAGAGATAGCAGCATGGGAATCCCAGGGTCAGAAAGGCTTTCTGATGCGCCAGGAAGGGTTGGTGGGGGAAGGGCGTGTATGCAAGGGGCAGTTGGAAGGTGATCGAATATTAGTCGAATGAATGAATGAATGAATGAAAGCACTGACGGATGGACACGCGGCAGGACTAACAGCTGGCCCACGTAGGGCCGCAGCCTTGGAGGCCTGAAGCCCTGGTTCTAGGCCCAAGCACCAGGCGCTGTGACCTTGGGGACATCCCCGCCCCGGACTCGGGCCCGGAACCCGGCGTCGCGGGGGCGGGGAGGACGTGCTCAGAGAGACGGTACGCGCGCGCGCCGCAGACCCACAGGCGCCTGACGCTCGGGCCCGGGCCCCGGCCCTCTCACGCATCTGCTCGGCCAGGCCAGGCCGGGGCCCGAACCCTTGCTGCCCACCGTGTTTACATTCCACCCAAGCCCGCCACGCGGCTTTCTGCCGCTCCAGCGCCGCTCGGCTCCGCCCCCACAGCCCCGCGTCCCGCCCCTCCGTGGCGCGCGAGCCAGACTTCTCCCGCGTCCCGCCTCGGCGCGGCCCCGCCCCCACACCGCGCGCGCGCCGGCCGTCCGGCTCTCCCGCGTCCCGCCCCGCGCAGGTCCCGCCACGGCCGCGTGGTCCCGCCTACCACGTCCCGCGTCTCGTC